AACGAAAAAGGAAGAAAGAAAAAAGAATATGTAAAGATTTATGCTTTTTGAATGGGTGAATTGTCAGAGACCTAATGGGAGGAGGCCCTAAGGTGAGCCTGGCCCTATCTGTGCCACGACCGTTCAGGGATGTTCAATATAAATAGCCCCAAGGTGAGGATGTTTTATTTCTGGTTAAATTGAGAAAACTGAGATAGTCTCTGTAGCTTATTCGTCTTCTCGGACGGAAGCTGTAGTTTATTTCGTCTTCTCTGACGGAAGTTGTGGTTTACTCGTCTTATCGGACGGTCCCCACTTGGACCTAGTCCTATAGATGCCACGACTGTTCCGGGGGCGTAAATATGAAGTCCCAAGCTGAGGTTGTTTATCAGCCTTGGGGTGATAATGTGGATTAGGAATACTCTTGATTGAGCGAAAGTAAGATTATGTAGATCACAACGTAAGTGCGAGCGTTGTAAGTCTATTTTTGGGGATACGCTGAACTGTTCCAGTACTTCGGCTGCCACTAAGATGCACTGATCCGCCAAGATGTTGACGTTTTATATTTCCTACTTTATTTTTGTTTCCAGCCCTTTCCATTACTGTGACATGGAAAGTGACTTTGATGTAATGACGGAATGCAATCGTACCTGGCGGTTTTCCAAGTTTGAGGTTGTTTGGTTATGACTTGATGAAGTTGTCTTGTTCAGCTACTCATAGAGTTGTGTTGTCGCGATGATGAGTCAATGCGAGTACTTCATTCGAAAGGTGAGGCTGCGTCCTTTATTTCGCAAGATTCCCTGGCGACTAGTATGCGAACGTAGTCGGCTGACATGCCGTATAGGGGGGCTTTCTTGATGGCCTTGCACCAGCTCTGCTATTGTTCCCAAGAACATGAGGGCTTTCTGTGTCCTGAGATGTTCCCCCAATCTATGCAGCGAGAAGTGGGGGTTCTCTGCTGAGTGCCCCAATCTATGAGTAGGCTATGCGCTCAAATGTGTGGAGGGTCAGCAGTAGACCCGAATTCGAAGGAGGCGGCCGATGCACCAAAATTGTAACAAAGCCCGTACGCAATGCATTGGTGGTTTCAGTGTAGAATGCTTGCCTGCCACGCGGGCGACCCGGGTTCGATTCCCGGCCAATGCACCAAATGTGGTGAAGGTTCAGTGGTTTTGTTGTTGTGATCTGCTGCCAACTTGTGTCTCGCAACGGACAAAAGAGCAAAGTTCAAATCCTTCATATGGATTATACAAACAATGGGGTGGAATCAAACAATCTATAATATACATACATTACTGTAATATTAACATAAGAACACATGTATATACGATTGCGACATATCGTTGTGTGAACATATGTCCTGTGAATGTGAATATGTGATCGTAATTGATGAGATGTATCGTCGTGTGACGATACCATAAATGTTGTTATTAACGGAGCATGACAAGGCGGCGGAGCCCGTTTGGCGTTGCTACGTTCGCCACAAGTAGAAGCACAGGCGGCGAGATCCAGTGAGCGAGTATATAGTGTTAGCAGTGGGGTCACTACTGATTATATATGGGAATAATCCCTTAACCGCGGTGGTGGGCCGAGCATAGCCTAAGTGAGTTTGTTCCGTAATCAATTAAATCAATTACGACTTGAGGTTAGGTGGTCTGGATGAAGTCAAACGACCGTTCGGATGAGTGCCCCACGATCGAACTGACTGTTGAGGTTGGTAGCAGCTAGGTGCCACCCTCGCCACTTGGACCATTTTTGTCTAACGTCCTCGAACCTCTGCGATACCACTTGCTCTCTAAGGTCGTGGACCATCTGCGTTGCCTAAATATATCATGTAATTCCCGAAAAGATAGCAAAACTCCCTTGGGAGGTTTGCTATATTCCAGCCTCGCGAAAGGATCATCTCCTGTGCTCAAGTGATCAGTGGGTCTATGAGCTCGAACATCGTGCCGTCTTGCATGTTCGAAGACGAGATGGCTAAATGAGAAGGCGAGAGTTTTCCTGTAAAGGGATAGAGACCTGGAATTGTCATTTAGGTGAAGCGTGTAACTAGCGATCGAAAGGAAATTGTGAGAAAAGATGAAAAAGACGAAAAAAAGGCAGGAAGAAGATTATATAAAAATATATTTCTTTTGATTGGTGAATTGCGTACGGCGGAGAACGTCGTAGCGTCGTACGCGAATTTCTCATACCACTTAGTCAATAACTCAACAAGGATATGACAGCAAAGGATCTGCTGTAAGTTCGACTTTTCTGTAAACCTCGGCATAATTGATTGATCTTTGAAAATCTGAGAGAACTTATCTTGATTAGCTGACGCGAGGTTGGTAAATTAGTCGTAGAAGTTCGGCTGACGTTTCGGCGACCCGCCTTCTTCAGAGCCTGGACGTATGATAGTATTAGTCTATTTGAATGATTCGGATGGTCTTATTTATATGCTGCCTAGGTCAGGTTAGAACATCAAACGAAGAAAGGGCGCGAGATCTCGTGTGATGGTGACGCACTCGTCCTTCCTGTTCATTTCGGGATTTTGGGCGTTTATCCAAAATGCCTCAAGAGTTTTGCGCGTGGATGTTTTTGATTCCTGCGCTAAGATGTGACAGTCACATCAAAATCTTTGTTGTTGTGTTTTTGTGCCCTATGTAAACCTAAAGGTTTGGTTTTATCTATTTTAGATTTACTATCTAGATGTTCTTTTATGCGGATGAAAAGTGGTCTACCCGTTTCGCCTATATATTCTTCCCCGCATGTCTTACATGTTAGCAAATAAATTGTGCCCGATCTCATACAATCCCCTCTTTTTCTGTTAGGGCAGATCATACAGTTTTTGGTGTTGCACAATCGATCGTAAAGTCTATTGCGGATCAGCTGATGGCGTAGGTGGGAGAGTGGGATTTCAATAACTACCACGGAATTTTCAAGACCGCATCTTTTCAGGCACCTTTTAACCGCGCTACTAATTTCGTTTGATATAAATGGCAGTTTGAAGGGAACTCTATTCAGGTGCGGACTATTCTTCTTTTGGGACCTAATTCCACTTTTGAATATTCCCGAGTAGCAATGTTTTGTAGCCGTTGGAAATGGCAATTTTTCGTGCCAAGTTTAACGATTCGTTCCTTTCCTCTTCTCCTGTGCACACATTTTAGCCGTTCGAAACATTTTTTAATTAGCGATTTTTTCATGTGTGAAGGATGAGAGGAAAGGTTACTGACCAAAATGTTTTTGTCACTTGGTTTTCGATACTATTTTGTACTATAGCCACTATCCAGGAGCTTTACTTGGATGTTTAAAATGGAAGCCAGCCCCGTTTGGACTCTCTCGCGTAAATTTTATATGCTCTGACTGTCCGTTCACGACTTCAAACACTTGTCCATTTCCTCTTGTGTGGAACAGACAGTGAAACAATCGTCTATATACGGCGTAGAGCAATGGGCGGTGAACGAGAACTGGAGCTTCCACCTTATACATAGAAGCGATGGCAAGACTAGGTGCTAAACGGTGACCCATGGCTAACGCCCTGAGTTGTGTGAAGTATTTTCCCGACCACCGAAAGATTGAACAACTAAGGCATTGTTTTAGGAGGGTCATTAGTTGTTGAACTGTGAAGCCATACATATTTACTTTTTGTTCATTTTCAGTTAAAAGTTCGAAAATGGCTTACATTGTCAGAGTATTCTGATACGTTTGTATAGAGTGAGGTAACATCAATTGACTCCATTACGTGCGATTGTTTGGTTGCGCGCAACGTAGGTGATCTAGGAACATTCGAGTTTTGGGTAGATGGGTTGGTATAAAGCTCAGATATTCTCTA